ACATGCAGCCTTCTTCATTTCAGTGCTTAATCCAAAGTTTTATATCCAGCCAATTGGTGATTTTGCCTTGGTCGTACTCAAGTACTTTCTTTCTATTATATCCTTACACTATTCTTTTATGCCTTTAGTAACGGTGGGTGGTAGAAAGCAAGAAGATATTACAAAACAGGAAAACGGAACCTACTGATTTTGTCAGTTATCCTTTCCCGTCTTCTATTTCCTTCATTCCAGAACATTTAACAACAATTTAGACTGGCCATAAGCTCTAAAAATTAAACAGATTAATGAATCTGAATGTGGTGCAAGAGGAAATTTCCAATGAAGAATGTGATGAGCGCCTGGATTATGATAAACATGGCGTTCGACAGAATACTTCTTCGAGCGTTTCCTCCAATTCATCTCAGCCAAGTCGAGCAATCTCTTTTCACGTGAGACAAAAGTCAGCACAGTTAGATTCTGTAGATGGTCCGATATGTTTAGGTGCGCCCTACCCGGAATCTTTTACTACGCCAAACAGGCAGATAAACAACGTCCCCCAAACATCTTGGTTTTCATGGCAATCAGTTCAGACTTCTATGTCTTCTGGTGCGCAGTCCTCAATGGAATCACTCTCCTCACCCTCATCTATTGATGAGACATCACCTCGTCGACAATTGAAAGGAGGAACAGTCAGAATAAATGATGAAAAGAGATTGATCCTGAACAACAATGATAAGAAAGCAATTTTCCCACTACCCTGCTGCGCATTTCACACTTGTCTAGGGCAGTCTAAATGCCTTATTATTGTCTTTTTAGTTTTACTTTTCATGATATTTGCTCTTATTGCAGCCATAATTGCTCTGGCAATTCGCAAGCATAATTGAATAAAATTGACATGGATATTGATCTCTTCTCTTAATTTTAATCATCAAGTGCCTCACATTCATTCTCTACTTCTAATTGCAGTTAAAGAAAAAATTGCTTTTTTCTACCATAATTCAGTTATGGCTAAGATAGTTTCACTCCCATGTATGCCAGCAACCTAATGTTTCAAAGAATATGGCCAAACACTGACTGTGGCGGTGTCAAGTCGGAGTAAAGATAGACCAAATTGGTAGCACTGAAAGTGATATAAAACTGAACAAGCAGGCAAACTAGGAAATTAGCAAACAAAGAAGTATGTTATTGTACTTAAATTAGTAGAGTATTTGTCCATTCCTGGGGAGTGATTATGTTGATTCAATGGTTCTGCATAGCTAAATTTCAGTGCATTTTCTAAATTTTGAGATTAAGAATAAATTTATGTCATGCCTCTTGTGCATGCAGCTGAAAAGTCATGAGGTCTCCCTTGTAAATTTGATCTGTCTCAACACATTTGAGAAGGGTGTATCATGTAATTTTAGTCTACTCGGACCAGCTGTAATCATCAGGACTATAAACCTGTCCTAATATTACATTTATTTCACCTCGTCTCTGCAACGTAGTCGCGTTCATAAGGCAACCTCAAAAAAACTTTGTTCGGCGTTCTTTGCTCTGGATGCTATTACAATGTCCAGTGTCAGACCATGGATTTGGTACATTCCCTAATGTTTTTCTGGCGCTTGAGTCGTCTTAGTTAATAAGCCTTTCCATTCTTTGTACTAAAC